TACATAAACAATGTACCTGAATGCTTGCTTTGCTGGAAAGAAAATGCTAAAATGTTTGATTATATATTGACTCATGTGTGACAGCAATAGTTTAGCTAGATGGTCAGTATCTTACAAAGAACATGATTGGACAATATACATTAAGGAACTTTGGGAAGGGGCTTTGGATAATGTTCCCTGAATAAGCAAATACCTACATATACATACACACATGAAGGTATGTTCCACATAGATGGTCTTCAAAAGGTGACTTCAGGTGATGGCACTGTAAGTGCAGTGGGTAAAACTGCTGAATGCAGAGTCAGCATCCCACATGAGTACCTGTTCAAGTCCTAGCTGCTTTATTTCCAATCCAGCATCCTGCTTTTGTGCTCAGGAAAGCAGCAGAAGATGGTGCAAGTGCTTGGACCCTATACCACATGGGAGACTTGAAAAAGCTTCTGGATTCTGACTTCAGACTTCAGACCAGGTTTTGGGTGCATGGGGAGTCAATCAGAGAATGATAGATCTCTCTCTCTCTCTCTCTCTCCCTCTCTCTACCTTATCTGTAACTGCCTTTCAAAAAAAAAAGTAATTCATCTCTAAAAAAAAAACCTCCTCTGCTGAGGATTTTATTTATTTTTATTAGAAAGGCAGATTTATATAGATTGAAGGAGAGACAGAAAAATCTTCTATCTGCTGTTTCACTCCTCAAGGGCCACAGACCAGAGCTAAGCTGATCCAAAGCCAGGAATCTCCAACATGGGTGCAGGGTTCCAAAGGCCTGGGCCATCCTATATTGCTTTTCCAAGCCACTGGCAAGGAGCTGGATGGGAAGTGGAGCAACTGGGACAAGAACCAGTGCCCATTTTGGATTCCAGCGTGCTGGGGTCCATGCAGAGGGGGTGGAAGACACGAAGGTGTGAAGAGTATTGTTCCACTGTAGGCAGGGCCGCAAGGAATTTCCTGCTGCATGACAGGGCCTGACGGATGTCTCTACAACCACCTGAATGCAGCTCCACCTCCCTTTGCATGGGCGCTGGACCAGCCCCACTGAGAATTCTGTAATCTATTTAGGCACTGCCTGCCACTGTGGAGCTGGTGTTTGCCACCAATGTGAGCTTGGAAGTTGATGTTGCTGATAACATCTTGGCAAAAGGGCCTTTTACAATTCATGCTGTCTGTCTCTAACTGCCCCCATTGACCATCCCTGATCTTTAGCTCCCTCCTTCTATGATGCATTTCCTCCCTTAAATGATTCAAGGGGAAGTTGTAGGATGAGGATTGTAGTGGGAATGTGTTACTGATTGATATGTGCCATCTATTGAGAAATTCCTGACCACAGAATTAGAACTGCGGATATCCTGCCTTGGGAAACATTTGGCAAAATATCCTTAGGAATGCCCGCTTGACCAGGTGTGAAAAGTCTATGCCAGCCTTTGTGACGGCTTCTGTATAAATAAAGTGGACAGCTTTCTCACATTGTCCATTATGATCCTGGAATTGTAGTGGTCCACTTTTCTTTTCTCTTTGCGTCTCATCCACGCACCCTTCGCAAGTTCCAAACTCAGCTGGAGCTGGACTCTGGCACCAGCGTGTACAAAGTGAACATTTAGCCACTAGGCTATTGCTCCAGGCCCAGCAGAGGAGGATTTTGATCATCAAAAGCCTAGGTTAACGAATTCAGTACATACCAATGAGAACCTTTTCCAGCCACCCCTAGCAAAACAGGGCTGAGGAAATACGGTGACTGACATTCTCTTAGATCTTAACTGGTAAACAAACCAGTCATGGTGTTGCAGGGGTGCAGGGTCAATAACAGGGACTTCTACTCACCAAGTGGGGAACAGTCACTGCTGAGTACACAGCTTAGCATCCGCAAAGACCAACGTTGAGTTCCCAAATGTATGCAACTCCTTGGGATAATCATGCAGATTTCTAGTGACAAGATGATTATCTGGGATCTCTTTATCATATGTTTTGCCCATACTGTAATTGATACTCAAAACAGATCTGCTTTCCCTGTACATAAAATTCCAAAAACTACCCCATACACACTTACAGAATGCCATGACCATGGTACTCTACACAGCACTGCTTTTGTTCAAAGGACTCATTTCACAGCAAAATAATTGCACAACGAGTCTATACTCAGGGAATTCCCTAGTCTTGTGGTGTTCCCTGTCATGCACCTGGCCTGACAGGAGGACAGGTCTTTTTGAAGATGCAGAGGCAGCATCAGCTGGGCTGCAATAATTCCAAGGGTTAACGCCAAGTTCTCCAGAACACTGTGGATCATATGAATGATTCCAGTGTATGGTGCTGTTTCTCCCATAGCAATAAACGGGGTATGAATGGAAATGGAACCGCTGGTAATCTTCCTGGTGACTTAGTGACAGATTTTGGTTCCCCCTCCCATGACTTATTGCTCTGACAGCCTGGCGGTCTCAGTTTCAAAGGAAGGAATGATTCACCAGAAAAAAAAAAAATCCTACTGGCAGGGAAGATTTCATCCAATCACTTTGGACTTTTCATCCAAAAGAAACAGGTGACTGATGCAGACTGTCAATTAGAAGCTGAACTATTATTCCATTACAGCTAAGAAAGTGCATCTGTGTTGAACTTTAGTATCTCTTAATATTATTACGTCCTATAATTAAGGTTAATGGAAAATCATATTAACTCAATCCAGGCAGGACAACTAATGGTCCAAAGCTATCAGGAATGAAGGCTTGGATCCACCATGATTATCTGCAATATTTAGTGAAGAAAGATGGAGTATATACCAGGCAGTGAAAGAAGGCAATGACATGATTCGTTTTCTTAAAAAGATTTAAGAAAATTTTATTTTCTTATCATTTAAAGTAATATATATTAATAATAACTAGCTTTTTAATCACGGTTTTTAAGTTAAAGAATATCAATGAGAAGAGTGAATATCACACGTAGGTCCTGCATCCTCTTCTGGGGAAGGCATCACACATTCCTGGCTTTGTACGGGGAAGATATATCAGTTTAAACTGATAAATGACTTTTCTTTGCTCAGAAATGAAGTATCGCCTAAGAGATATTTAAATGAATGTGGAACTCTCAGGGGTGGCTAGGGTCATTAGGCGGTACTACACAACTATTCAAACGCTAGTCTGTGTTGCTGTGAATTTTGTAAATGTCGTTGAGATGTGTAACAGTTGGCTTCAAGGAGGTTATCCTGGATAATGTGAGCAGATACCATCCCCTTGCTTAAAAGACCTGAAGAGGAAGACTGGATTTTTCTGAAGAGAACTCTGCTTGCGGTCTATATCATCAGTTCCTCTTGAGTTTCCAGCCTGCCTACAGGCCCACAATTTTTTTTTCTATTTGTTTGCTTTTTTTTATTGGAAAATCAGCTATACAGAGAGGAGGAGAGAGAAAGAGGAAGATCTTCTGTCCACTGATTCACTCCCCAAGCAGCCTTAATGGCTGCAGCTGAGCCGATCCGAAGCCAGGTGCCTGGAAACTCCTCTGGATCTCCCACGAAGCCAGGAGCCCAGACCCCCCTCGGGGTCTCCCACACGAGAGCAGGGTCCCAAAGCTTTGGGCCGTCCTCAACTGTTTTCCCAAGCCACAAGCAGGGAGCTGGATGGGAAGCAGAGCCTCAGGGATTAGAACTGGCACCCATATGGGATCCCAATGTGTGCAAGGAAAGGATTTTAACCACTAGGCTACCAAACCAGGCCCAGGCTCACAGTTTTAAAATTTGACCAACCAGGCACCAGAACCATGTAAGTCGATTCCTTGAAATTAATCTTTATACATACATATATGCATGTAGATAAGTACACACATACACATGTTTGTTAACAATTATGTCACTGAACAACAGGGGTTTGCTATGAGAAACATGTTATTAAGCAATGCTGTCATTGTGTAAACATCATGGAGTATATTCCCACAAACTAAGATGGCTGTAATGTCACTAGGTGATTATGGGACGTCGTTATGGGACTACCATCATAGATATGGTCCATTGTTGGTGAAAACATTGCCATAAGGCATGTGACTGCACACACTGTCTCACACCCACACGTATCTACTACTGGCCCTGATTCTTTGCTATGACGCTGATTCAGAAATCTGCCATTTCCTCCCACTACACTACTGTTATCGCAGGTATAGACATTTAGTATGTGGTCTTTGCCCTTAATATTTTATAACCCAAGGGTTATGAAAGGTTAGTATTATAAATTATATCAGTAGCAGAGCTTTATTGTTAATTATTTATTCACATGGTTTTGAGGAGAGAAGATAAGAGAGAGAGAGAGACTGTACCCAAGGCGAACAGCGTGGAGAAAATGAAGAATCAGGAGTATACAACTTAGTTGAAGCTATACATAATTACTAAGCTTTAATTGCTTCATTGGCTGCTTACTCAAAAAAATTCTAAAGCTCCACTGAGTAATTTGGTGCAGTGTCTGAAATGCAATGAGGGAAATATCACCAAAAAAACTAATTTGGAGATTAAATAAGTTATAAGATTGAGTTCCATTCTACCTGTTGGTAGGAGTATGACTTTAGATCAAGGGAAAACTACTTCCAATCTGAAGTTTACTGTGTAAAATGAGGACAACAGTACATATCCTATTACAAAGTCATACTGAGAAACAAGTGAGCTAGAACAAGGTTCTTAGAATAGTGTCGTTTATAGAGGAAGTGCTCAACCAATGTTGGGTGAACACAAAAACAACTCAACTCTGAAAAGAATGCTACTCAGAATGAAATCCCCAAAACATTAAACTTCAGATAGCCTTAAAGGAAGATACATGCAATAAGTATATTGTAAATCAATGTCATAAACTAATTTTTCAAAAGATGAAATGTTTGTCTTTAAAAGATACTCAACTTTATGAAAACCTTACCATTCTGATCTGTGGAAGAACCTTCAGAATACAATTTAAAGCTGACTTTCTTTTTGTACACATGGAATTTGCAGTTTAAAAATTTAATATCATTCCAAAACTATGCTCTGCCTTCAGAGTACATACCTTGAGGAATACCTTTGGGAGGAGAATATGTTTTCTTCTTTACAATAATACGTTTACTTTTCACTTGTCTAGTTCCTGGTGATGCCCTAATAATACAACATACTTCTGATACATTTGAAGGAAACTGAAAAGGAAAAAAAAAAAGGCAGGTATTGTGTGATTCCTCTAGGTACTGTGTTTATAACTGCTTTACTTAAAAAGCAAATAAGTTCAGTAACTGTAATTCATAGATATTAATAATAGCAATCATGTATAAACTGCTTAATCCATCTCCAGGCACTAAATTTGTTTTAAAACATTTGCTCATTTGGGACTGATACTGTGGCATAGCAGTCTAATCCTCTGCCTGTGCCACTGATATCCCATAGGGACAGCAGCTTGTTCCCTGGGTGCTCTATTTCTGACACAGCACCCTGCTAAGGGCCAGGAAAGCACTGGAGGGTGGCCCAAATCCTCGGTCTCTGCACCCCAATGGGAGACCCAGAAGAAGCTCCTAACTCCCAGCTTCGGACCTGCCCAGCTCTAGCAGCTGTTTGTAGAGTGAGCCAGCAGACAGATGAGCTCTTTCTGTCTCTTCCCTTTCCCTGTAATAATTGTTTTTAAGATTTATTTATTTCTATTGCAAGTCAGATATATAGACAGGAGGAGAGAGTGACCATAACAGCTGGTGCTGCGCTGATCCAAAGCCAGGAACCAGGAACCTTCTCCAGGTCTCCCAAGTTGGTGCAGGGTCCCAAGGCTTTGGGCCGTTCTTGACTGCCTTCCCAGACCACAAGCAGGGAGCTGGATGGGAAGTGGAGCCGCCAGGATTAGAACTGGCACCCATATGGGATCCTGGCACATTCAAGGCAAGGACTTTAGCCTCTAGCCACTGCGCTGGACACTTCCCTGTAATTCTGCCAAATAAAAATAAATAATTTTTAAAAAATGAGTGCTTGCCCATTTACTACAAGAACCAGGCAAGGCTTTATAATACACCCATTTTATAAATAAGGAAACTGAGTTTCAGAGAGATTAGATAACTTACACAGTAATACATAGTAAGTAATAGTAGAGTTGAGATTCAAGCACTCCAAACTAGGAGGGAAAGTATGCATGACTGGAGTTACAGCAAAAAATTTAAATTTCATCAATTTTCTATCAAGCAGTATCTAAAATAAATAAATATTGTATCTTTAGAAATGGTATATCTTATTTCTTAGAACTCAAATTTCTTATTAAGAGATCTTCCCATTTTAGATAAATGCCATATATATATGGAAATATATATATTATAAAATTCACATTATCTTTTTTTGATAAACATTTGCTATTTTCCTGCACATCATTTATTTTATATTCTTAGCTGAATCAACCACTCTCCCAGCCTGCACACGGCTTTTTCCTTATAATCAGGCAGAAGTGATAACACTTCTGAGTGCCAGGTAATCAGAAGTCCCAGCCTTGCCAGGCAATTGATTTCCTGCCCCTAGACACACCGATCAGCTTAGACAAGAGCACTGTGAACGGGCTATCAGGGTGAAGGGAGTATGGCACCCAAGATTCTGACACTGAGAATCTTTACCAGCAGTTAGCGCAAGGGCAGACACTTAATCTAGTGGTTTAGATGCCCATGACCCACATCAGAGTGCCTGGGTTTGGTACCTGGCTCGGGCTTCTGGCTCCAGCTCCTTTTTAATGCAGACCTCGGAGACAGTGATGATAGCTTGAGGAACTGCATCCCTGCCACCCACACAGGCGAACTATAGTTCACACCTGGGCATCATGGGAATTTGGCAGATGGGCCAGTGTAGAGAGTATGTTTGCCTGCTCTGTTTTACTCATCTACACGTTCTTTCAATGTCTCTCTCTCTCTCTCTCTCTCTCTCTTTCTCTCTCTCTCTCTGTGTTGTCTCAGCCTCTCAATTTCTTTAACATTATTTTTCAAAGGTAGTTAGATAACGGCTGGCATTTTGGTGCAGCAGCCAAAGCCACTTCCTGTGACATCAGCATAGTTTATAGACATACCAGTTTGAATCACAGCTGCTCTCCTTTCAATCTGTTCCCTGGTAAGGCAGCTGGGAAGACAAGAGAGGAGGACCCAAGTCTTGGGGTTCCTGCCACTAAGAGAGACCTGATTAGAATTCTCCAGTCCTAGCTTTGGCATGATCCAGGTTTGGCCATTGTGGCCAATGGGGGAATGAGCCAGCAGATGGAAGATCTCTGTCTGACGCTTTTCTGTCACTTTACTTTCCAACTAAAAAAATTAAATAAATAAACCTTTAAAAACAAGCAAAAAGGTAGTTATGTTGTTTCATTGTGACGCTCAGTCCTAGATAAAGCTCTTGGTAGAAGCAACAGATATAAATCTTCATAGAAAGATGGCATTCTCAATTTAGAACCACACAAATCTCATCCAATAACATCAAGTAAACATATGATCAGAGGCAGAGTCAAGAACAGCAAGAATTGTTCTTCAAGATTCTACTCAGAATAGTTTCAGGCAAAAATAAGAACAAAATAAATTTCCCCTCCTCTTAAAGTTTAATTATAACAATAATCAAAGATATATCAAACTTAGGAGAACTCAAGTTACCATGTATAAGACTACGTATCAAACAAGGAATGGGTTTGACCCTTGAATAGAAAATAGTGCAATTAGTAAATCAGAAAAGAGTAATAATTTGCAAAATAACTTAATAATAATAAAATGTTAATGATGAACATATTATAAGAGACTATAAGCAATGAAAAGTGGATTTGATACAGAAGCAACCAGACTGTGTTAAAATGAACAATGAATGAATAACAAATTCAACTGAAGATTAAGCAACAAAGGTTACTATAGATTTACTGAAAACATTTCAGAGTAAGAACAAATTGAAAAACATTAAAGAGAGGGTAGGGTAAAAGATACAGAAAAGAGACCAAGCCTTAGCACATGCTACTTACTGTTCCAGAGAGAATAAAACAGATGATAATTGAGAAATTTTCACAAACTGGTGAAAGATATGAAGCTGCAGATTCATAAAACCAAATTAGGGTTAAAATGGAAGCAGGAATTTGGCATAGTGGGTAAGACTCTGTGTTGGGACCCCACATGCCATATGCAAATGCCTGGGTTTGATTTTGGGCTCTGCTCTCAATCCCAGCTTCCTGCTAACATGCACCCTTTGAGGCAGCAGGTAAGGGTCAAGAGTTAGATCTTTGCCACCTACATGGGAAACTTAGACTGAGTTCCTGGATCCCAGTTTTGGTTTGGCACAGTCTCGTAGGATAATTGTGGGCTTTGGGGGAACTGAACTGGTGGATCAAAGATTTCTCTCCCTCTGTCTCCCACTGTCCCCACTCCACGGGCTTTCAAATAAACATTTTTTTTTCCTGGAGAACACAAACTTTCTAGTTTCCTTGTGATTCAGTGAGACTCTGTGACTTTTTCTGGTCAACAAGTGGATAAAAGCAATACACATCACTTCCATGCCAGGATATTTAATTGTGAATTTAAAAAGGTCTTCCGGAGTTTTTTTACTTCCAGTGTCATGGTTTTTAATAACATTAAAAGTGGTGGCAGGCCCAATGCGGTAGCCTAGCAACTGAGGTCCTCGCCTTGAATGAGCTGGGATCTTCTATGGGCGCCTGTTCTAATCCCTGAGGCCCCACTTCCCATCCAGCTCCCTGCTTGTGGTCTGGGAAAGCAGTCAAGGACGGCCCAAAGCCTTGGGACCCTGCGCCCATGTGAGAGATCCAGAAGAAGCTCCTGGCTCCTGGGTTCGGATCAGCGCGGCTCTGCCTGTTGCAGCTGCTTGGGCAGTGAATCATCAGATGGAAGATTTTCCTCTTTGTCTCTCCTCCTCTCTGTATATCTGACTTTCTAATAAAGATAAAATAAATCTTTTTTTTAAAAAAAGTGGTGACTAGTCTGTCAGTTACAATGAATAATCAACTCAATGAAAACATAGTCTGGGGCCCGGCGCGGTGGCGCAAGTGGTTAAGGTCCTCGCCTAGCACGCCCGGGATCCCATATGGGCGCCGGTTCTAATCCCGGCAGCCCCGCTTCCCTTCCAGCTCCCTGCCTGTGGCCCGGGAAAGCAGTCGAGGATGGCCCAGGGCTTTGGGACCCTGCACCTGCGTGGGAGACCCGGAAGAGGCTCCTGGCTTCGGATCGGCATAGTATCGGCCCGTTGAGCTCACTTGGGGAGTGAATCATCGGACGGAAGATCTTCCTCTCTGTCTCTCCTCTCTGTATATCCGCCTTTCCAATGAGAAAATAATAAAAATAAATCTTTAAAAAAAAAAAAAGAAAAGAAAACATAGTCTGAGTAAGAAATGAACTTTTGTTGTTCTAGTAACAATGTTTTTGAAAGACATTTATTCATTTATTTTTATTTGAAAGTCACAGTTAGAGAGAGGAAAATCGAGAAAGAGAAAGGGACATCTTTTATTCTCCAAATGGTCACAAAGGCAAGAACTGAGCCAGGCTGAATCCGGTAGTCAGAAACTTTATCTAACGTAGGTCTCCCTTACTGTGGCAGGAATTCAAGAACTTAGACCACCTTCTGCTGCTTTCCTAGGCATGTCAGCAAGGAGCTGTATCAAAAGCAGAGCATGCAGGACACAAAGAGGTGCCCATATCAGATGACAACAATGCAAGCAGTGCATTATACTAAAATGCTGCCCCTGGCCAAGGGATCCTCCCCAGCTCAAGCAGAAACACTGCAGTGCTTTTCCTTTGGTTACCTGGTGAAAACGAGAAACTTAAGAAAATAGAGGTGTGTCATGTACAAACAAAAGGATAATGTCAGATTTCTTATCAGAAACAACACAAGTGAAAAAATAGTAAGGCAATACTTTCTAGTACTTAAAGGGAAAAAACTGCCACCTAAAATTCTGCAGCTAAGTGAAATATCATTAAGGAGCGAAAGCAAAAAAAAAAAAAAAAGGCAGACCAAGCAAGGCTACAACACCCACTGCCAAATGCCAAGGTGAGGTGATCCATGCCACAGCACCTACCAGCACACGTAAGATCTGGAGGTTGGGAACGGGAAGGGGGGCAAGCTTGGTAGGGTGGCAGCAAGGACTCTCATGCTGGGCTCCTGCTCCTGCTGCTGAACATGACAACTGGGACTGGGGGAAGACCAGGCTAAATGGGGCTGGAAGTTAGGGGGAGAGCCAGGCTAGGCTAAACAACTGCACCCACCAGTGCAAGCATGAGTCAGAGTAAATTTTTCCAAAAAACTGAAGCAGGGATATTTAATAGTTAATTTAATGAGACCAACATTATCCAAAGCTAAACAAAGTCAGACACTACAAGAAAACTGCAGGCTAGTAAACCCTCCTCCCCCATGAACTCTGATGTACAAATCATCAACAGCATGCTACCAATTTGAATTTGGAAGCATATTAAAGAGATGGCAGACCATGACCAAATGAGCTTAATTCCTAGAGTGCAAGGATAGCTTATCATATGGAAGCAATATGATACACCACACAGAGCAGAATAAAGAGAGGAAGTGAGCATTTCAACTGATGCAGAAACAGCATTGCACAAAACCCTAACCTTTTAATGACAAAAACACTCAACAAAGCAGCAACTGAAGGAAACTATCTCAACAAAAACAAACATACAGACGCTGCATAACGAACATCATACTCCATGGTGGGAGTCTGGAAGCTTTTTCCTCTAAGTGAGGAGAAGGGGAAGGATGCCATTCGTTCAGCATAGTACTGGCAGTCCTAGCCAGAGGAATTTGTAAAAGGAAGAGGGTGGAGGGGTGCACCTGAATTGGGAATGAAGAAGTAAATTATCTCTGTTCACAGATGATATGCTTTTATATACATAAAATCCCTGAATACATAAAATAACTGAATTCAGCAACTTATCAAGCTATAAAGTTGACACATAAAAACCATTTGCATTTTACCCATCAACAGTAAACAAGTTCAGAGAAAATTATAAAAACATATGCATTTTAATAGTATCAAAAACAATATTTAGGGCTTAACAAAGACACAAAAGATTCTGGTGTTGTGGGGCAGTAGGTGAAATAGCCTCCAATGCTGATTAAAGTCCTGGCTGCTCTACTTCCAATTCAGCCCTCTGCAAATCCATCTGGGAAAGCAGAGGATGGTCCAAGTTCCTGGACCCCTAGCACCCATGTGAGACCCAGATGAAGCTCCTAGCTCCTGCCTGGCAGAACCCCAGCTTACCAACATTTTGGGAGTAAACCAATGGATAGGTAATCTTTCTCTCTCTCCCTCTCCCTCCGTAATACTCTCCTTCCTTCTCTTTCTTCTCTCTCTCACCCTCTCCCTATCTTTCAAACTACAAAACAACACCAAAAAAGTCAAAGATATAAATAATTGGAAATACACTCCACATTTGTGAATTCAAATTTTTAATATTACTAAGATATTACTATGCAACTAGCAAAATAATCTACAGAATCAATGAAATCTCAAATTTTCAACGTCAGGCCCGGTGCAGTAGCCTAGGAGCTAAAGTCTTCACCTTCTATGTACCAGGAATCCCATATGGAAGCCAGTTCATGTCCTGGTTGTCCCCTTCCCATCCAGCTCCCTAATTGTGACCTAGGAAAGCAGTCAAGGATGGCCTAAAGCCATAGGATTCTGCGCCTGTGTGGGAGACCCAGAGGAAGCTCCTGACTTTGGATTGGATCAGCTCTGGCCATTGCGGCCACTTGGGGAGTGAATCAGTGAATGGAAGATTTTCCTCTCTGTCTCTGCTCCTCTGTGTATATCTGACTTTCCAATAAAAATAAATAAATCTTAGAAAAAAAATTCCAATGTCATTCTCTTCAAAAAACAGAAAAATCCACCCTAAAATTTTGAAATCTCAAGTGACCCCAGATGCCAAAATAACCTGAAAAAACAACAGACCTAGAGGATTCACACTTCGTGGTTTTAAAATCTGCTGGAAAGTTACAGTAACCAAACAACATGATGTTGGCATTGAAGAAAAGCAAGATAAACAAATGGAATGGAGAGACCCCAAATTAATCTGGAATATACGGTTAAATAACTTGACAAAGGTTCCAAGACTACTGAACGTTGGAAATGACAGTTCCTTTAATAAATAGTGTTTGGGAAACTGGATATCCACAAACAAAAGAAAGGATGTGGACCCTTACTAACATCATATTAAAATATTATTTTAAAAAGGATTATAAGATCCTTTGAATAATGAGATAAAAACATCATGACATGTGACTCTTCTTCAAATGCAAGTAAATGATTTTAGCATCATCTAAGCTACACATTTATGAGTATCTAATATACCATGTATCTAATAAAACAATAATGATTTCTTTTAGCAATTCAAGGACAATTTGAAAATGCTACCTCATTTGAAGAAGCTTCTTGCAAACTTGACACAGGAACAATTTCATTTGAATTAACATAAGTGCTAACATTTGGACACAGTTCTTCGGAAGATGCTTTTTGTATCGAGGACAAATCAATCTACAAAAGAACATATTCTCCTTGAGAAAAAAATGTTACAAAGCAATTTTTTAAGTAATTAAAGTTGAAAATAATACCTTATTTTCTTTTGGACTTGTTAAGTATAGTTACTGACGCTTGGAAAGTATTCTTCAAAAATTTCAAGCTTTGGGGACCAGCATGGTAGTATAGCCAAGCTAATCCTCCACCTGTGTCACCAGCATTCCATATGGGTTCATATCCCAGCTGCTCCACTTCCAATCCAGATCTCTATGTATGGCCTAAGAAAGCAGCAGAGATGGCGCAAGTCTTTGGGCCCCTGCACCCACATAGTATACCAGGAAGAAGCTCCTGTCTCCTGGCTTCAGATTGCTTCAGCTTCAGCGATTGCGGCCACTTGGGGAGTAAACACAAGATGGGAAACACTCCTGTCCCTCTCTTCTCTCTGTAAAATCTACCTTCCAAATTAAAATAAATAAATCTTCAGTAAATTTCAAGTGTAACTGCGAACAAATCTATCCTAAAAAGTTATGATCCTCTTTTGTTTTAGTGTTATTACTTTTAAAATTAGTTACTTATTTGAAAGGCAGAGTGACAGAGACATAGGGAGAGACAAAAACAAAACAAAATAAACCTTTCATCACTGGTTTCTCCCCAAATGCCTGCAACAACCAAAGCAGACCAGGCTGAAGCCAGGATCCAGGATCTCCATCATGCTCTATCCTATGGGTTGAAGGAGCTCAACTACTGTGGACCACTATCCACTGCCTCTCAGGTGCATTAGCAGGAAAACAGACTGGAAGTAGAGAATAGTTGGGACTCAAACCAGGCACTCTATGCTGTGCAGGTAACCTAAGTGGCAGGTTAACCGACTACACCATAATTCCTGTGTGAATTCTATTTTTTTAAGTAGGAATTTTTGTTACAACACAAATTTCTGCTCATTCTTCTAATAAATATTTTTCAAATGCCTAATAAATAAGTTATCTACCCAGCAACCACACTTCCTAGAATAAATTTCTCTACGTCTTCGTGTGACACAATTTTTCCCTAGTGTGTTGTGTTTATCTTCTTTTTGCTTAGAAATCAAATATCAGATTTTTAAAATCTCAACCTCTAAAATACAACACTCTTCTAAGCACCGTAGCCATATCTCTAACAGGTTACTAAATCACCACACATTTCTGGTGTCATGCTGCAAATACTGAAAACTAGAGTCATGATTCATATGTTGTAGGTGAGGATTCAGAAGGTCTTGACAAGCTGACCATTTCTATCTGACTAGGTACTGTGGTCTGAACCTAGGCCAGACCAAATGCATGGATGCCTTATTTGGATTCAGATGGGGGGTTGGTGGCATTTGAAAGAGGAAGGTCCTGCCCTATTGAGCTCATCTTCCTCCCAGCAGGAAGAAAAATTTCATGCTTTTCTACCTGTATTTTAGAATAATCATAGGAGGCTCACATTAAAATGATATCATGGCAAACGTAGATCTCCCAGAAGTCTTTGATCAAGTGGGTGTTTTTAGGGCAGCCCCTAGGGATTGACAGCTCAGAATGGATCTATACACCTCCTTTGGTAGCAGCAAAGTGTGAAATGAACCAAAAAGCAATATATCCCAAATTAATTTGTTAACAAAACTTGAATCTTAAAATTTCAAGACATTAGGTGTTACCAATATTATTTTTATTTGTTACAAGATACTGGTATTTATCCACTAAATGGGAAGAAAATATTTGCAAATTATCTATCTGATAGGGGTGTAGTATCTAGAATTTATAAGGGTCATTTATAACTCAGTCATCAAAAGACAAATAACTTAATTATAAAATGGACACAGGATTCTTCAACAGGCATTTCTCCAAAGAAAAAATACAATAAGGCAAATAAGACTAAACTCAAATCACAAAGAGATATCATTTCACACTGAAAAGATAAATGACAACAAGTATTAGTTAGAATCATCAGAGAAATCAGAATATGCATAAACTATTGTTGGGAATGTGAACTTATTCAGATAAATTAGAAAACAGTCTGACAGTTCCTCAAATGAGTGAACATAAAATCCAGGCAATTCTGTTCTAGGCATTTTGCCAAAACAAATGAAAACTTTTTTTTAAAGATTTATTCATTGGAAAGTCAGATATACAGAGAGGAGGAGAGACAGAGGAAGATCTTCCGTCCGATGATTCACTCCCCAAGTGACCACAACGGCTGATGCTATGCCGATCTGAAGCCAGAATCCAGGAACTTCTTCCGGGTCTCCCACACGGGTGCAGGGTCCCAAAGCTTTGGGCCATCCTCGACTGCTTTCCCAGGCCACAGGCAGGGAGCTGGATGGGAAGTGGAGCTGCCGGGATTAGAACTGGTGCCCATATGGGATCCCCTGGAGCATTCAAGGCAAGGATTTAAGCTGCTAGGCCACGCCACCGGGCCCAACAAATGAAAACTTTTACTTCTAGCAACATCATTCATAATAGCCAAAAATGGAAACAGCCAAACGGACACTACTGTAGTGGAATATTATTTGGCTACTGAAAGGAATGAAGTACTGAAGCCAGCTAATATATGGATGAACCTTGGAAATGTTGCATTAATGGAAGAAATCAATCACAAAAGACTGCATACATGTAATGCCATTTACATGAAAAAACTTTACAGATAATAAAATATATTAACGCTTGCTTGGGACCAAGAAATGGGATAGAGGAGCAAGGGTAATAATAAATTAAAGAGTATGGGATTTTTTTAAAAAGGTATTTTTAAGTGATTTTATAAGTTCTAAAAGTGCCTGTGGCTGAGGCAGGTGCTTGGCTAAGAGGCTGAGATGCTGTTGTTCCATATCTGAGCAGAGTCAACACTCCTCCCAGGCTGCTGACTCCGGTTCCTGCCCCCACGTGCCAATCCTGAACTCCTGTCTACAACAACTCCTGCTGTGAGACATTGTGGACACACTGGGTGACAGTGAACCAGAGATGGGAACTTTGTCTCTCTTCCTCAATAATAATAAAAATAAAGTAAAATTAACTGTAATAATTACAGTATATATGTGTGAATCTTAAAAATCACTAAATAGTACACTCTAATGGAAGAATTGTATGATATATGCAATATATGAAGCCCACTACAAAAGTAGGATTAAATACATAGTTATTATATATGTCAGAAACTCCACTTCTACTTCTGAGTTTACACCAAAGATAAAGTAAAAACACATATTTCCTGGCCTGGAGCAGTAGTCTAGTAGCTCATGTCCTCACCTTCTACACGCCAGGACCCATATGGGTGCCAGTTCTAATCCCAGCAGCCCCACTTCCCATCCAGCTTCCTATTTGTGGCTTAGGAAAGCAGTGGAGAACAGCCCAAAGCTTGGGGACCCTGCACCTGCATGGGAAACCCAGAGTAGCCTCTGGGCTCCTGGCTTTGGATCAGCTCAGTTCTGGCCATTGTGGCCACTTGGGGAGTAAATCAGAGGACGGAAGATATCTGTCTCTCCTCTTCTGTGTATATCTGACTTTGCAATAAAAATAAATAAATTTCTAAAATAATCCCCACATATTCTTACAAAAAGAAACACAAATTTTCTTAGCAGCATTATTATTCCTCACAGATAATAAGCAGAAATAACATGAATAACCCATAAACTAATTGGTAAACAAAATATAGCATATCTACACAGTGAAATATCAATTCAATTATAAGAGCAATAAAATAGATACTTGCTATAAAATGGATGAACTTCAAAACTTTATGGCAACAGAAAGAAGTCAGAAACAAAAGGCCACAATATTATGTAAATCCATTTATGAAGAACCAGAAAGAACGAATACAGAGACAGAAAACAAGGCAGTAGTTTCCAGGGACTGGAAATTGGAATGCAGGTGTTTACTAATGGTGTGGTGAAAATATTTTTTAATTCTATTGTAATGATATCATACAACCTCTGGGTATACTAAAAATCACTGATTGACACACTTTGCATATTGAATTTTATAAAATGTGAGCAATAACTCAATTTAAAAAGGTGTTAGTATTTATAAAATTGTCAATAAATGTGTTCTCCAGGAAAAAAAAATCAATTTGACACATTTAATCCTTATCTAGAGATTATAACACTAAATAAGGCACATATTTTTTGGGTGAATTTTTCTGCTTTTTTAAAATTTAATTTAATTTTAGTTTATTTTTTTATTGTTAATAACATTGTATTATGTGATACAGTTGTGGGGAAAAAACATTAAATCTCAGAACACTGAAAGGACTGTAAACAGTGTTAACAAAGCTTTTTCTCACAGCAACAGCATCTATCTGCTCTTTGGTTAACTCTGTAATTTTGCTACAAGAAGGGTAAAAATGCCAATCTGTTACTACACAACATCTCCTGTGGTATAAATGTCCCACTGAAATGTTATGCTTCTGGGTGAATAACAAATTTACTGTTCAGTAAATAAATGCTATAAAAGATAATATACTTTGGGTTCCCAGAGGCCAAGGACTCTTGTAGTTGGCATCCTCCCTGTGGGCACCTTTGAAGTTGTGTGTATGTGTTGTCACAAAGGAGTCTTGCATAGGAGCTGCCCCCCCACCGCTATGTGGTTACACACAGACTTCTGTTGGGGCTGCTCTCACTGAAAGAGAACACATGCAGCTGCTACCCTTTGAACAAGAGTTAGTCCCACTGTTTAGACGAACCTAAATGAATCCTGTTTGGGAAAAACTGTAAAACTCTTGGAAGTAGATACAAGCCACCCCCCTGCCCAAAAAACCCTTTTAGAGGTAAATTCATGACACACACTTTATAACAGTGGATGTGGAGATGGTTTCTTGACTATGACACCAAAAGCAGAGGCAACAAAACAAAGTTAATAAACTGGATTATATTAAAATGGAAAGCATTTGTGCATCAGAGTAAAAAGACAATCATAATAGGAGAAAAAATATTTGCAAATCATAGATCTGATAATAGATTAATATTTAGGATATATAAATAATATATAATCATATACTATAAATATATAAATAACTCCTGTAACTCAACAATGAACAATCTGATTCAAAAATGAGCAAATGACATGGCTATTTCTTCAAAGCAGATATATAAATGGCTGAAAAGCATACGAAAAGATGGTCAATATCACTGACTATTAGGGAAATGCAAATGAAAATCATAGTGAGATTCCACTTCACATCCATGATGGGGGAAAAACACCATAAAGCAGCAAGTACTGGGACAGGAAAAAAAAGGGACCTTTGTACCTTGGCAGGGACAGTGCAAAATAGCATAACAACAATGGCAAACAGTATGGCAGCTTCTCAAAAAAAGTAAGAATGGAACTACTATGTCACCTAGAAATTCTACTTCTGTACATACACTCAAGAGGACTGAAAGCAAACACTGATGCAGATATTTGTACACCGTGTTGAGAGAGCAGTATTGTTTGTAATTGCTGAAAGGAGGAAGTAAATAAAGTGTTCAGCAATTGATTGGATAAAGTGTGTCATACACACATAGGTGATGTTATTCAGTCTCAAAAAAGAAGACACTTGCTGTGTGCAGAAGAATCTCAAGTGTGGATGAATCGAAGACAGCGTGTTAGGTGGAATACAGTAGTCATAAGAGGACAGTTACTGCAGCATTTCACAGGCATGAGATACTGAGAGTAGTCAAGCTCACAGAGATAGAGTGGTGGTTATTGGGGCTGGAGAAGGGTCCAATACAGAGTTACTGTCTTTGGAAGTTTAGGGTTTCGGTTTTGCATCCTAAAAAAAAGTTACAGAGATAGTTGCTGTTGCAAGGTGCACAATAATGTGAGTATACTCACACAGGCATTTAAAATGGCTAAAGTTCTAAATTCATTTTATATATATTTTGTAATAAGTAAGGGAATAAAAAAAGAATCCCCATTAATATTATAAAATTCTAATCTTTCCTTCTCCATTACATGTATTATACTACACAGAATATTTCCAATGAAAGTATGTATATACAACAGAAAAATACAGATATTATTCTCTATAGGCAATATTCCCTAGAATGACAAAAACAGAAGAGTTGGGAGAGGAGTCACAAAACGGATACTACAAACAACAACTGCCAACACTTACCACAAAACTTGCAGTCTCTGAAGCTGGAGTACTGGTTAACAAGTCTGTACTTTTCTTGTCAGTAGTGGAGGAATTTGTTCTCTATAAATGTTTTATGAGATAGGATAATGAATAGCAGAAAGAAATGCACTATTTTAATATAGTGAAATCACGATTTAAAGTTAGTAGACCAAATCATAGTATGTAATACCAGTAAAAATTTTTATTTGCTAATTTTAATTTGTTTTATAGGAAACAAAGGGATTTTTAATTTCTTGGCTGGATCAGACACCTCCCAAGGGATCTGTAGATAGAATAACAACTGTGTAAGAACACTCTGAGGGTCTGACATCATGGTGCAGTAGGCTAAGCCGCAGCAATGCTGGCATCCCGTAACAGAGTGCTAGCTCGAATCCTGGTTGCTCCATACAGCTTACTGTTAATGTGCCTGAGAAAAAAGAGGAGAGAATTCAAGTATATTTGGGTCCCTGCCACTCACACGGGAAACCTGGAAGGACTTCCAGGATCCTAGCTGCGGCCCGGCCCAGTCCCAGCTGTTCCGGCCATCTGGGAAGTGAAACAGCAGATAGATCTTTCTCTCTCTTCATTCCTCCATGTCACTCCACCAATGAAATAAACAAATAAATTAACCTTTTTTAAGGGATTACTTTGTTTGAAGTTATTATCAATTTAGGAAAAAATGCTGGAGTGTTAAATTAGGCAATCGTGGTTTTACTGTCTTTTTTTAACTGCTGAAACAGATATTTTGCTTTCAGAATGGTGTGATTCCTGGAGTACAGTGCAGACTTGCTTTCTGTTTCCTGAATGTAAAGAATCAGGTAGAAACAAGTGGACACATCAAGAAAGAATAAGTACCAGAATGAAGATAGAAGGAGACACAATCCAAGAGCTAAAGAAAGTGACAGTGAAGACGGGGAGGGATAGAGAGGAAGAGGGAAAGAAGTGGAACATTGTGGGGAAGGGACGGAGGAAGAGGAAGTGGGGAAAGATAGAAAACTAAGAGAAAAACAGAAGCAGAAAAGATAGGAGAAGAAAGGCAGATAAGCCAGACACACTAAGTTAGACTGTGAGCACAAAGATTAAATAAAGAGAACACTGTGTGCGTGTGTGAGACACAGAGACAGAGAAAGAGAGAGACCAAGAGAGCAAGTACGCCAGGCATCAAGACAGACAAAATCTGAGACAGTAATGCCAGAACAGAAACAAAAACAAAAACTCAAATAAACAACAAAAAGAGGTAGAAAGAAAGCAACAGTCAATAAGACAGAGGCAGCTAAACTCTCAGATAAAACCTGAACACAGAAAAGTTTGTGATAGGATTTTCTTTCCCTATCTTTTCTTTCACTCTCTCTTCCTTCTGGTTTAAAATCTCTTAAACTAGGTGTTTGTACAAGGTGTAATCTGGAATACTCTCAGGGGGAACATTTTTTTAAATTTGTGGGTACATTTGTCCGGTACACTGACCATGTCAGTTCTCTAATTAACTGTATGATCTTGTAATGTCTTTATCTGAACAACAAGGGTTATTCTAGTATCAGGGATTGTTGTGCAAGGACTACAAATAGCTTGTATAAGCAGAATGTATGGTGCCCAAAGAGTAAGAGATACGCAGAGAGAGCTTATGCTTATTCCAGCACTGTGGCAGCTTTGGGAGCTCTGCTCAGATCTCGCTGCACAGTGTGCTGTTCTGGATCAGCCAATAACCTGCGCCCCGGGAGCTGTTGAACCTGCTTCTACCTCCATGCAGGGGGCACAATCGTGCCACGACGTGCCCAGCCAAAGTCTGGGCCTAGCAGACCGACATGACACTTTTCTAATGGGCAATCTTTGCTCCAAAACTCCTCTGGGACAGAGCTTCAGTCGGCTCTGCAGTGAAAACCGAGGTGCTCCTACTCACTGCTTCCTTGCTGCTCCCCCTTCTCAGGTGTTAGTCACCCCCTCCATAAACCACTTCAACTTTCCATTCAGGCTCAGTATCTACCTCCTCGTGGTTCCAATGACACAGTTGTCAAGTGTCCAATTTTAAACACATCAGAATGTACATAGCTATTAAGTATACAGCTTCCTTTTACTTTTCTCCTAAACATGGTCGAAAATTACACATTTTAAGGGAGCCCACACATGTATAGTCAACTAATCTTTGACATGAAAACTGAAAACAATCCAGGCAAAAACCCTGGTCTATTCAACAAATGCTGTTGGGACAACTGGATAGCAGCTTGCAGAATTAAGAAGCAAGACCCATACCTGTCACATATTATGAAAATCAACTCTAAATGGATCAAGGATCCAAATCTACACCCAGAAACCATCAAATTATTAAAGGAGACATAGGAAGCACATTCCAAGATATAAGAACAGGGAAAGACTTCTTAGAAAAGACTCCAAAAGCAAAGGCAATCAAAGCCAAAATGAACAAATGGGACTACATCGAACTAAAAAGCTTCTGTAGAGCAAAGGGAACAATTAACAAAGTCAAGAAGCAACCAACAGAATGGGAGAAAATTTTTGCACACTGCGCAATACACAAATGACTAATATCCAGGATTTACAAAGAGCTTCAGAAACTCAGGGACAGAAAAAAAAAAAGAAAAAGAAAAACCCTGTAACAAAACGGGCAAAGGAAATGAACAGACATTTTTCAAAAGAACAGATTCAAATGGCTAACAGACATATGAAAAGATGTTCCCTAGCCATCAGATACAAATGAAAACCATACTGAGGTACCACCCAACTCCAGTGAGACTGGTCTACGTTCAGAACTCAAGTAACAACACCTGCTGGCATGGATGTGGGGAGAAAGGCACCCTCCTTTACTGCTGGTGGGAGTGTAGGCTAGTACAACCACTGTGGAAAGCTAGTACAATCACTGTGGAGAGTGCGTGGAGAATTGCGAATAAACCTGCCATATGAACCAGCTATCCCGCTCCTAGGAATATACCCAATAGGAGTGAAATCTGCATCTGAGAAGGGGGTCTGTAATCCTGTATTTGCAGCAACACAATCCACAATAGCAAAGACATGGAAACAAACCAATGTGCGTCCAAAGAAGGGTGGTTAAAGAAACTGTGGTACATCTACTCCATGGAATATTATTCAACTATTAAGAAGAATGAGATTACACTATTTACAACTGGGTGGTCCCAACTAGAGACCATTATGCTCAGTGAAATGAGTCAATCACAAAAGAACAAATACTATATGTTCTCTCTTATATAAGGAAATCTGCATGGAAAGTGTGACTTCAATAATCCGATCCATACTGTTTTCTGTTTGGCTGTATCCTGTGTGTTTTGACGTTTTTTTTAAATTTCAGTTTGGTTAATTCCAAGTAATTTATTTTCTCTTGTCAAATCCATCACTGGGTCATGGATTACATGGTGGCACCATTTTTCCCAAGAGACTTTTGTGTTTCCTTTTTGTCATCCATGTGTTGCTTACTAAGTGGCGCATTTTCTAATGGTGCTGTAATATGTTGTTGATGTTGTTGTTATTGTTGTTGACGTGGCTGTTGTTCTAACTCATACCAGTTGTTGACCTTGTTTCATAATTTCTCAATTATGGAAATGTATAGTGATGGAATATTGGGGTTTACCACATTGTCTGTACCAGCAGAGTCAGGGTACACTTAAATAAGAAACTGATAGAATTATGATTCCTTATGAAGGACAACATCATTGTAGTAAAATGGGGAAAATCTTTTGGGGGATGGGAGTTTGAAGGGAAATCCCAGCCTATATGAAATTGTACCACATAATTCAAAATTCAAAATTAAAATATATGCAAAAACCTAAGGCAAAAAATTACACATTTAAGTGGAAGCAACCCAAATACCTATCAACTGATGAATAATAAATAAAATGTGATACATCTATATAATAAAATATTATCTGGCAAATAAAACTTATAAAGCTGCAATATATATTGCAACAGGAATAAACCTTGAAAAAACTATGGGAAATAAAGTCCAGATACACACACAAAAAAAATTGTATAGTTCTAAATATTCTCAGTAAATATATTTTATTTTTATGATGTCTAAGTATTAGTGCTTACCAATGCAGGTTCCCAGGGCTGAGGCAGCAGAACTTTTGTAAAGAATCTACCTTCATTGTTTTCAAGAACAGAACCAGGGTGATATGGTGGGTCCTTATTTTTTACATGAGGAACATTTAATTCTGTTTGAAAATCCATACCTCCTTGTTTGGAATCCTTTTCAGGGTAAAAAAAATATTTGTAATCATTAGACACATTCCCCACTGCTATGAAAACATTTCTAGTATTCGCCATATGTTCTATTGTTCTTTCAATTTGAAAAAAGGATTTGCAATTAAAGATGGATAATTTGCAGGAAAAAAATGTTATATATACTTAAATATCTGTTGAAAGGCAAAATAGTTTGAAACACTCAATTTTAAAATGTTTCCAACCACACTTAAGGTAGTATCTCTCCAAAAGTGTTTTGTGGGCAGCAGATGATGGCCCAACTATTGGGGTTCACTGTCACCCAGGTGGGAGACGAGACTGGAGTTTCTGGCTTCAGAAATGAAACAGCAGAAGGAAGATTATTTCTCTTGTTCACTCATGCTCTCTCTCTCTCTCCTTCTTCCCCTATTGCTTTGCCTGTCAAATAAATAACCAAATCTTACTCTTTTAAAAATTCACTCTTTTCCACATACTTGCCAGCATTTGTTAGTTTTTCTTTTTCTATGTCCTTTTGGTTTTGATTTCCACTTCTCCAATGGCAAGTGATACTCAACACTTTTTCATATATTTGTACTTTAGAAAAAAGTCTATTCATGTTTTTTGCTCATTTCTTAACCAGATTTGTTGATGTTATATTGTTGCCATTTTATAAGATGTTCATAAATTCTGAATATTAATCTCTTAACAAAGATGTAGATTGCAAATATGATCTCCCATTCTGCATGATGTTGCTTAATTCTGTTGTTTTTCTTGCTTATGCATTTGTCCAGTTTTCCTTTTATTGTCTGAACTTGTGGGGTTCTTTCACATATACCACACACACACACACACACACACACACACACACACACCATTGCTTTTTATCAATGTTTTGAAGTATCTCCCTTTGTTTTCTTGCAGCAATTTCATACTCTCAGGTCTTATCTCCTGGCCACTGGCTCCATCTTGAGTTGATTTTTGTATATGACTAAAGATAGGAGTTTAATTTCATTTTTCTATATATTACAGTTTTTGCAGAACCATTTGCTAAAAAAAAGACTATCATTTCTCTAATGTATATTCTTAGCATTTATGTAAAAAAATTGTCAGTACGTATGTGGATTGATTTCTGAGTTTTATATTCTTTTCCATTGATTTATGTCAGACTTGTAATGTTTTCATTACTGTAAGTTAGTAGCCTTTGAACTAAGCATTGTGATGTCTCCAGCTTATTTTTTTCTTACCCTACAATCTCTTTCCTTCCTTTTTTCCGTACTTTTTCCTTCTTCTTTACTTCTTTCCTTCTCTCTTTCTTCTGAGTGCCACTGTGATATCTCTGGGTCTTTTTGGTTCCATGTGAAGTTTAGGTTTTTGTTCCCTAATTCTAATTTGTTCACTTGTTGGAACATCATTTTCTGAAATCAATTATCCACCTGTTCTTGTATATTTTCTACTTTTCTACATATTAATTCATTTTTAAAGAAATTCCTAGTCTGACAATTCCAACACTCCCTGCGTATCTGACTCAGTTGTGACACTTGCTCAGTCTATTCAAACTATGCTTTTTGCCTTTTAGTATGCCTTGTAACTATTTTTTTAAGTGGACACAATAAACTAGGTATAAAGAATCATGGCGGGTAGAATTTTATCAATAGCGTTATAACATCTGTGTGAAAGAGGAGCCATGCTGTTGCCCCATGCTGAAGTGTCATAGGATTTCTGCTGAGTCAGAGCCACTGGGATGTGAACTACATGGGGCCTCTCAGTTTTCATTTTCTCCTCTTAGGCGGGATATGAGTTGAGGAAACTGAAGGCGGGTATCTCCCTCCTCCCCAAGTAGGTCAGGCTCTGAAAAGAACTCGGCAGGCTACACTCTGCAAAAATATTTTCTCTTGAGGGCAGGTATAATTAATAAGAGTGGTCTGACTTATTTCAAAGTGTTTCCTATCCCTCTCACACCACCAGCAGCATGTTCACTATAACGACCTAACAGAATTTCTGAAGATAAAATTCACAAAAATAGGAGGAGGAGCCTAAAACTGGCTCTCCCAGCAGTTTTTAACTGTAGTCCATAATTCACTTGGAGTTGTCAGAAACTCATACATTTAGTTTAGTCGTTGTTGTCCTGGTAATGTCCCTCTATAGGTTTCAATTTATGGATTTCTATTCCGTTTACTGGTAATTTTGTGTCTTTCTGTATACTTCTTCAATAGGTGTAGCAGTTTTCTGTACAATTTCATTGTTTTGGTGGATAGAAATAGAGTTGGTGATTCTTCAGTCTTCTCAGTTTTTTCCTTTTTGTTGGTCAGAGGAGACTAAGGTTCTTCATGCAGGCCTGGAAACTGAAACTCCGCCCAGTGCCTTTTCACAGCTCTTTCCACCACATGCCTTCAAACAGCACCTCACATTTTTGACCACTCTCCCTTTTTTGGGTTGAAATACTTTTCACTCTTGTTTTCCACAATACCATATTCAGTATATTTTCATCTTCCTCTAACGGTTGTTTTTCCTGCGCTACATGAATCCATAAAAGATGCTCAGAACAGAAATTTAAAAGTCCATTTTAAAAAAAATCATCTGAAAGGAAGAGTTTTAGAAAGAAAAGCAAAGTTAGAGAAAGAAATGTTCCATCTAATGGCTCACTCTCCAAATTCCCACTGCAGTTGAGGATGAGCCTAGCTGAAGCTAGCAGCCAGAAATTCCAGCTACATCTCTCATATTTGTGATAAGAACATAATAGAAGATCCATCATCACTTCCTCCCAGATATATTAGCAGGAAGCTGAGCCAGAAACAGATACAAGATCCAGGTATCCCAAATGGCAGTGCAACCTGCTCTGCCACCACAGCTGCCCCAGAAGTCTTTCTTTATACTTCTCACTTCCTCTTTTTTTTTAATCTTAAGAATTATTTATTTTTATTGAAAAGTCAGATATGCAAAGAGCAGGAGAGACAGAAGTTCTTTCATTTGATGATTCACTCCCCAAATGACCACAACATCTGGAGCTGAGCTGATCCAAAGCCAGGAGCCAAGAGCTTCTTCTGGGTCTCAACTACTTTTCCAGGCTGCAAGCAGGAAGCTGGATGGGAAGCAGGGCTGCTGGGAATAGAACCAGTGCCCATATGGGATACTGGTACATGCAAGGCAAGGACTTTAGCTGCTAGGCTACTGCAAAATTTTCTGGGATCCATTCATATCTCTCCATCTCTACTATAAAACACCCTGAGCAAAATCACCACAATCTCCTAGAACAAATCTTTGTAATTCCCTACTAAGGACTTTCCCTTGCTAATACTTTTAACCTTTTCCAATTTGTTCCCAACCTAAATATTGGCAGAATGTTGCAACAGAACTAATACAAGTTAGAGCTACAGAAAGACCTGCCACAAGTGTTAAGCAAAAAAACTGATGAAACTCTAAACCTCCATTTTCTGAGCTAAAAATAGATACAATAAATATATTAACTAATTGGCTGACTAGAATGAGACCAACAAAATACATAATTAGTCAAAATTTTGTTCAGTTTCTAATAAGTACAAAATAAAGTCCTTCTTCTCCAAAGACCTTCAGATTTCAAGCATTACATACTAATTCACAAGTAAGCTTCAGAATAAAAGATTACTCCAGCTGTAATTTCTTATTTGTATTTTAAATTCATTAAAATAAATTTATATTCATTTTTATATTATTACTACACTTCTCATTCTCTTTGATTATAGGTTTATCATGTACATCAATACATATTCATGTATATACTGTATAGGTTCTTTTTTATTTTACAAAGTTGAATAATCTAATTGCCAAGCTCCAAAAATGCTTTTGATTATCATCGGAAAAAAAGGACCTCTATGTAAGAGTTGATTCAAGATATCCTTTTTATTAAAATGTATGGTTTATATAGTTACTCTGCTTGAATACTTGCTTTTTCCTTTGCTTTTTCAGAGACGGAAGGGCAAGTTTTCTCAGCAAGTAAAGCCTCACAAGTTGCATTATCTATAAACAAAAGCATAGTTTAATATTCTAGTTATTGAACTATCATTGACTATAACTATACAGAAAGGAAAGAATATTAAAATTTCATATAATAAAAACACAAATTTTGACCTTAATGACTGTGCCTCTATAATGATTTAAGAAGAAAAACTTCTGCTGAACATTCTGACTTGCTTCCAATAGGAGAAAACATACTTAAAATATCTTTGTTTCAAGAGTTCTAGATTTAATAGAACTTTCACTTGTATCAAATTAAAATTCTCCATTATCCTACCATTTCCACTATCCTGTATACTTACATTCTTACTTAAAAAAAAAGATCTGTTTTATATTTGTTTGAAAGTCAGGGTTATAGAGAGAAGGAGAGAGAGAGAGAAAAGAGAGAGGTCTTTTATCCACTGGTTCACTCCCCAAACCAAATGGCCACAATGGTCAGAGCTGAGCTGATCCGAAGCCAGGAGCCAGGAGCTTCCTTCAAGTCTCACACGGCGATGCAGGGGCACAATGAATTGAGTCATCCTCCACCATTTTCCCAGGCCATAAGCATAGAGCTGAATTGGAAGTAGAGCACCCAGGGTACAAATGGGCATCCATAAGGAATGCCAAAGCCTCAGGTGGAGTCCTAGTGTGCTATGCCATAGCACTGGGGCGTAGGCTTTTCCACTGTACTGCAATTTTTCTAGCAGCATTGAAAACAAACTCATCTTGCTTATCTTAGAACAAATTTCCCCATTCTCCATCTCTCTTTCCTGATACAACCATTTCTGTTCACAGGCAAGGTTCTACAAAGGGCTGTCAATGTCTGTTAGCTTTATTGCCTCCCATCCATCTTTCAAATCCATCCAACAATCCAGTTTTAGCTCACACTGACAACAGTAGAAACCCCTACTGGCTTCTCCCACTGGGCCTCAAAGCATCAAGAGCAAACACCTTTCCACTTGGCCCCCTTTACCGCTGCTTTTCGGCCTGCTTTCCAGTCCCAATTCATAACAACAATATTTATAGTATCTGTAGTGTGTCAATTTTACCTACCACCTGTACTTAACAGTGCACACTCTGCTTTTTCATTATTCATAACATCACTACCTTGATGTACACATCAAACTTTTTCCATTAGATTACTACCATTGTGTTTTCAGTTCAACTGTATCTGCAGTTCACTGGTCTCCTTGCACACCGAAAATGCAAATCTATCAACCTTTGGTTAAAATTTTCCAGGGCCTGATGTGATAGCATAGTGGTTAAAGTCCTTGCCTTCCACGCACTGGGATCCTAAGTGGGCCCCGTTTCTAATCCCGGCGGCCTCACTTCCCATCCAGCTCCCTGTTTGTGGCCCAAAGCCTTGGGACCCTGCACCCACGTGGGAGATCTGGAAGAGCTTCTGGCTTAGAATTGGCTCAGCTCCAGCCGTTGCAGCCGCTTAGGGAGTGAACCATCAGATGGAACATCTTCCTCTCTGTCTCTCCTCCTCTCTGTATATCTGTCTTTCCAAAAAAAAAAAAAAAAAAAAACCAAAAAAAAAACTCCAAAGGCATTCCATGACCTTAAGTTAAAACTCAAAATTCTATCAGGAAAATTTAAATAAAAGCCACAATGAGGTCTCACTTCATTCAATTTAGAATGATTGCCATCCAAAAATTAAAAAATATATATATATGCTGGTAAAATGTGGAGAAAATACACTCTAATACACTGTTGATGCAAATGCAAATTAGTATAACTACTGTGGAAGACAGTATGGAGATTCCTCAGAAATCTGAACACAGATCTACCATATAATCCAGCAATCCAACTTCTAGGGAATTTATTCAAAGGAAATAAAATTAGCATATACGTTATTTGTAATCACCAATGTTTAGTGCAGCTCAATTCACAATAGCTAAGATAAAGAACCAAGCCAGGTGCCCATCAACAGATAACTAGGTAAAACAAAAGGAGGAAGAGAGAGAATAAAAGGAGAGCTTGAACAGAGTTTTTCAGACCATATGCGCCCAGGAGGAATACAAAAGGATGCTCAAGACCCTGAGTTACTAGGGAGATGCAAATCAGAACCACAAGGGGTTATCACCTCACACCTTTCAAGACAGCTGTCACGGAAGAGTCAACAACAAGAGTCAACAAGCACTGGGTGGAATCCGGAGGAAAGGGACTCCCAGTACACTGTGGGAGGAAGCGCCACTGCTGCAGCCACGACAGACAACAAGATGGACATTCCTTAAGAATGTAAATGACCATATGTCTCGGAAATTCCACTGCTAGGTGCACAGACACAGAAATGAAATCAGTATCTTATTATCTGTACTCTCAACTTCACTTCAGCATATATGGAGACAACCCAGATGTCCCCTGACAAATTAATAGGAAATAAATTGTGATGCTGCCACCTCCAAAAATGTATTACTGTGGAACATTACTTGGCCATAAAAAGAATGAGATCCCATCTTTTGCATCAAAATGAATGGAACTGCAAATAATTATGTTTAGTGAAGCAAGCCAGTTGCAAAAAGACAAACATTATGTATTATCTGATATTTGAGAGTTAACATAGAATACAAAATATGTGTAGAAATGAAAAGGAACTTGTATATATATATATATTTTTTTTGAATTTTTGAATTATGTGGTTCAATTTCGTATAGGCTGGGATTCCACTCCAAACACCCACCCCAACAGATTTTCCCCATTTTACTACAATGGTGTTGTCCTTCGTAAGGAATCATAATTCTGTCAATATCTTATTTAAGTGTACCCCGACTTTGCTGGTACAGACAATGTCAGACAGTCCAGCATCCCATTGTCTATGCATGTCCAAAAGTATCATTGGGAATCCATCTTTTGTCTGAAAGCAAGGATGCATGTTGCATTATACCCACACATCTGGATATGATAGACCCCAGTACTCCATCACTATACATTTCCATAATTGAGAAGCCATGAAACAAGGTCCACAACTGGTATTATAAGGATTTATTCCAATATCCCACCCTGGACCCTGCGCCACTTCTTCCTCACAGCTCACGGGATTCGCGCCAGTGCAGCCATCCACCAATCAGATGTAACCTGGCATTCCACCTGAGAATCCCACCCCCAATCTCCCAGCCCCTTCCCCAAACCCGCCCACTCACCAATCATCCCCAGGCATTCACCTGCAGGCACCAATCCCCTGGGGCCTTGACCTCAATCCCTCCCAATCCCCGCCCCCCCACACCTGGCAGACAAAAAAGGCCCCCAGGTGCGGTTCGCCCCTTTTTGCTCTCTCTCTCCCTCTCCTTGGTTCCTCTCCCCTGCTCTTCCTCCCTTCCCTCCCCTTCCCCTGTTCCTGCCCCACTCGGTTCTCTCTCTCTCTCTCTCTCTCTTGCTCTCTCTTGCTCTCTCTCTTGCTCTTGCTCTTGCTCTCTCCTTGGTTCCTCTCCCCTGCTCTCCCTCTCCTCCTTCTTACCTCCCTTCCCCCTCCTTCCCCTTCCCCTATTCCTGCCTCGCTGGAATAAACTTCCTAAGATATGTCGTTGCGTCTGGTGTTTTCAGCTCACGGTAAAGAACCAGGTTGCGAGAATTAGCTGCGCGTAAAGTATCTTAATATCCTATAACCTAGCACTAGAACTCTACATTCTTTTAAATAACTAACAGGTATGAGTTAGAACAACAACAACAAATTACAGTACCATGAAAAAACACGCCATTGAGTAACCAACACAGGGTGACAAAAAGGAAACACAAAAGTCTCTTAGGAAAAATGGTGCCACAGTGTAATCCATGAGCCAAAGTGGACATCTTGTGACACGATTGTTGCTTTAAAGTTTTAACCCTTGCTTATACTCCTGTAAAACTGTAGTCTTCCTATTTTTTATTTGTTTAAAAATAGGATTAGTGATAATTTACTGGGATTACAGAGTAGATTAAAATTATATTTTCACACACACACACATCAAGCAGGATTCCTGGAACTAGCCTAAATGATTTTGAACCCAAGCTCTGGCAGTTACAAATTTTGAAATGCTAATTAAAGGGCTGGCTCATGGCTCAACTGCTTAATCCTCCACCTCCATGCATGGCACCCCATATGGGTACTGTTTTGTGTCCCAACTGCCCACTTCTTATCCAGCTCCCTGCCTGTGGCCTAGGAAAGCCTTGGGACGGTGCACCCACATGGGAGACCCAGAATAAGCCCCTGGCTCCTGGCTTTGGATCAGCTCAGCTACAGTCATTGCGGACACTCAGAGAGTGAACCAGTACATAGTAACCTTTCTCTCTGTCTCTTCTCTTGTAAATCTGCCTTTCCAATGAAAATAAATCTTAAAAAAAGAAAATGCTACTTAATATCTGAATTTCAGCATTACTACATGTAAAATAGAGATAGCAGTGCTACTCAGTTCTCAGTGTAATTGAGAGAAAGAAGATGAGTTGATATAACAAGACAAGGCAGTAGAAGAATGTTTGCCATTATTAATAGTGACAACCCTAACAGTGCAAGAATGACTCTAAAAGGCATTGGTTTTATTATTTGCTCAAATAACCTCTGCTATTATAATACAACTAAGAGGAATTTCAAAATTATTCCTCTAATTAAAGATTCAAAAAGTTTGTTATTTGAAAGGAACATAGGAAAGAGAGGAATGAGAAGAAAGAAAGTGGTGGAGAGGATGAGGGGAAAGAAGTGAGAGTGAGAGAGAGTGTATGTGTGAGAGCGAAAGTGTGTACGTCTGACAGAGTGCAAGCGAGAGTGCGTGCATGTGTATGAAAGACAGAGAGAGAGAGAGAGAGAGAGAGAGACTGATTTTTCATCAGCTGCTTCTTTCCCCAAATGCCTGCAGCAGCTGGAGCTGGGCCAGGACAATGCTAGGAGCTGAGAATTTAGTCTCCCTCTTGTGTATCGGGGGTTATGAATCCAACTAACTGATTCATCTTCGCTGCTTCCCAAGATGTACAGTGTCAGGAAGCAAAACCAGAACTCAAACCCTGGTCCTCTAATTTGGGATAAAAGTGTTCCAAATGATATCTTA